AAAAGTGTGGGTTGAATACAGAGCTTCCAGGTATTTAAAGCCCTGGAATATGTGTTATAGTTCTCTGCTGGTGCAGCTAAAAGCAAGGTGTAATTCAGTGGTACTACATTAGGGCCCTTTAAATGAAAAGACTAAGCACTAGGGGTCAGAAATCACCAGAGGTTCTCTTTCCGAAAAGCAGTAATTCTTCAAAAGCTTCCTGAGCACTTGAGTACAATTATTTTTAAGTATTTTAAAAGAATGTGATTTGCTAGGTGGAATCACCTGGCATCATCTTTGTGACTACAGAGCTGTCCTCTGTCTGCTTCTGTAATTGTTTGTTGTTTTTGTATGGAGACAGATTCACAGTGGTTTCAAAGCAAATCTAAGAGAATCATTAGCACTAATTTGTAAATGAGAACATGTTTACTTGGAATGGTTTTAGAATGATTTGAGGGTATTTCTTTACCTTAGTGAATGATTTTTATGTTGAACTTTTCTGTGCTATATGTATTATTTGCATGGGTCTGGTCTATCTTGATGGATATTCTCACAAACAGAGTTGTTCAGAGGAGTAGTTCAGCTATACTTGTATGTGTGCGTATGGTAATTCTTACTACAAAGTCAGCATTTACCAACCGTTTCCCCATCGTAGTGTCTGCCCACGCTTACGAAGAAGAAAGAACGGCAGGATAGCAAATCCAGTGGAGTGGTAAATGTCAGTAATTGTGGATTTCTTAATGGTAGTAACACTAGGTGGATAGATTAGCTATAGATATTTATTGCTCTTTACACTCTGAAAATCAAAAGGGGAGCTGAGAAAAAAGGAGTTATGGGAAGAAAAGAAGGGAATCTATAAGAGCTGCAGTTGATTGCATCTCTGAAGGCCATTAACTATGGCTTTAGACACCATGATTTGAAAATTCTCCATTCTTAACGCTCCTCTCTCTCCTTGAAGCCACTCCCTATTTTAAAATATATCAGCGATTTCCAAACATCAGGCTAATTCAATTTTGACAGTGACCTCTAGGCTAGATTATGTGCAAATTTACTCTTGAAAACCATTTATAGACTCCAGCTGCTGCATAATAAGAACATGGCAATTTGACTTCTCAGAAGACTTCATCCATGAGATTTAAGAATAATTAAGTTCCGAACAGCTTTGGCTACCTATAAACGAATGGGTGTACCTCATGATATATCATTAGCGCATAAAGCCCTGAATAATATAGGATTCATCTACCTTCAGTAAAGCATTTTGCCTTATGGCCCAGCAGTGAGATTGACTTAACTGAATTTGTTGACCATCCCAAGATGTAATGCAGAGAGAATGGGAATCAGGATTTTTTCTGTTGAAGGCCTGCACTATAGGAATTCTGTCCCTCTGGATATCTGCTCTTCTAGGTCCCTGATTTCCTGCAAGATGGAATTTATTTTATTCTATTTTTTGTCATTTTGGATTTCATTTGCATTTTATGCAAGGGCTGCTCTTCATTTTTGTTTCCAGTCTCTTCTGGACATAGACAAAGGCTGACACCTTGTGTCTTTGTACGTTTGTTAATTGCATTTGCTAAGTCATCCAGAGGCCTTTGGTCATGGGTGCCAAAGATACTTAATTTATTATGATTATATAATGTAGCATCATTGACAATGAACAGAATCAAATAAAGTACAAATTCAGACACAGCTACAAAGTGGAGTTTTCTCAGGTTATTACCTCTATTGGCTTTTTTGAGATGATATGGGTGAGAGGTGAGTTGCATGTGAGGAAGGTTTCTCTCCCAGAAAGACTAGTTAACTTTAACTTCTTTGAGGGATGTTGCCTTCTATAAGGACACAGGGAATGTGTATATACAACACTGTCAAGTATAATTTCTTCTATTTATTTAGTTTGTCCTGGCCTGAGCTTTCAGAGTTTGGTATTCCTTTCTTGCTCCATGGGAACTGAATACTCATAACATTATACAGATGATTTTCTGAAGGCCAAATCTTGAACCTGGGTTTAGATAGTAAGGCATGCACATATCCCTTACTCCTACATACATGCACTCCTGACCAGTGCAGAGGCTTGCCTGGAAAGGGCTGAGGAGCTATTGAAGAGAACTGGAGGGGACCCCACAGTTCCAACTAAGTTTCCATGTACCCCTGCTCCACACAACCAACATTGAAGCTGCAGTAACTACAAGTATGCAGCAATGGGAAACCCCAAATAAGAAAACAAAGTTCTTCCTGTGCTAGACTGGGTGGGGCTATGTACTTTGCCCAACTCCCTGATGAGAAGTGAGATCACCTCATTGACACTTGTTTGGGCTCTGCTGTGCATTTAAGATTCCCTGCAGCTATCAATCAGCTACTTAGACCCAAGCCCTAAAGACTTGGAATGTCATGGATTCCACCGTTTGGTCATCAAGTAAGCATCCACCATCGCAGCTGTGGAGCTCCAGCTGACTCTATGCTTTCTCAGCTAGGACAGATTTGGCCTTCAGTGCTCTGTGCAGATAGCATATATGTTTCCAACATTCTCATCTCGCTCCTGTCACATCTGCATCCTCCCTCAACTTGATGCAAATAAGAAAGGGAAATATTATGTGTTTGCTTGCCCCAGGACAGTGATGGGGAATTTCAATATTGGTTTAATTAAACTAGATCACAACCAGCAATTCTGAAGGCACATAGGAAAGATACAAAGAAGTGGCAGGGGTCAGGAAAGCCAGAAAGAAATGTATTGTTTTTTGGTTTTGGAAAGTTCTGCTTTGCACATTGGGCGTGAATTGTATTGTACTGTAAAATTAACCCAACAGCACCAAACTTTCTCTTCAAGAAGAGGAAAATCCCGCTGCTGTATGGAGGGAGTTTTCTGAATGACTCAGTGTCATTCCAACATCTCAAGCTCTTTGGAGCAGGGACGGCCTGTTATAGGTTTGTTCATTGCCTAGGACAACATTGCCTTGATATTATAATAATAATAATAATATGGAGATATGCCTATCTCATAGAGCTGGAAGGGACCCTGAAAGGTCATCGAGTCCAGCTCCTGCCTTCACTAGCAGGACCAAGTAGTGATTTTGCCCCAGATCCCTCTAAGTGGCCCCCTCACAACCCTGGGTTTAGCAGGCCAATGCTCAAACTACTGAGCTATCCCTCCCCCCCCGATCCTGGAGTAGGGCCCCAAGGCACTACCACAATACAAATAACAAAAATAATAATAAATCCCCATGAACTGCACAGGAATTTTTTAACCCCAAATAATAATACAGACGTGTTTTAACTTTGTTTTTGAAAAACTATTGCTTGGATGTCAAACCACACAAAGGGGATGTATGTTATAGACCTTTCTGTCTCTATGGATTTTAAAAGATTATATACCATAGTTATACATGGAGAGGATAAAACAGAGAGGAAGGCTGGTCCAGAGGTTAGGGCATTAGACTTGCGAGACCTGGGGTTCAAGTCATTGCTCTGCCACAAACTTCCTATGTGATCCTGGGCAAATCACTCACCCTCTCTGTGCCTTGGTTCCCCATCTGTAAAATGGGGGTGATAACATTTCCTTGCCTCACACCAGTGTTGAGGATAAATACATTAAAGATTATGAGGTGCTCGGACACTATGGTGTTGGGAGCAACAAAAGTACCTTAGGTAAATAAGTTAACCATGGTACAGGCCCTATTGACTTTAATAGGAGCTGTGCCAACATCTGCTAGTGCTGAATTTGGTCCATACTCGCTAGGATTTAGGACATAGATTTAATTTCTCCACGGTATCCAGAAAGCGAACTGACCAGCAAGCTGTTCCAACAGCAACAAAGAGCAACCCAACCGTGTCATTCTGATTGTTCACACATATTTTACTTTGCTTTATCTCGATGCTCTCCCAAAGCCGCTATCATGAGTTTACCAGATTGGAATAAAGCTCAGTCACATGCTTTTGTCCTAGAGATTACAGTACCTGTCACTGTCTAAATCTAACACAAAACCATGTGTGGCTGAAGTGCCACACAAATAATGGAAAGAGCAACGCTGTTATTCTCCAATACAGTGTTTCAGCCACTATGGCCTATATGGTTTTAAATATTTTTTTAATGGGGATTTGACTGCAGAATAGAAGGGCTTGGTTAATCACTGAATTGACAGCAACACAGTCATGCTGAGAAACTGGAAATCCAATAGGGTGAAAGACAAGAGATCGTCCCCATTTCTCATTGCTTCCTGTGAGTAGATGGCATTCAAACTGAGGAACTATAAGGACATCTTTAGGATGCTGGAAACTTTCTGGTTGCTACATTTACAAAACAGAGTCTATCTTTCAGATAAGAATTTATGTCTCAGGAGATCTGCAAAACTATAAATGGCAAGCAGATGCCTAATTCCTGCTAAAATCAATGAGTCGGGTGCCTAATTAGCATTTCTGCCTTTGAGAATCTCCTCCTCAGTCACTTTTTGTGCATATACATGACCTGAGCTTCCGTAATAATAGTTATGACTCCCATCTAATTGCATTTAATACCCATTTTTCTTCCTCTTCTAAGTTATTTTATTTTGTGGAGGCGGATGGTAGGTTATATTTCTTAATCAGGTGGAAGTTTCAAGTTGGTTTTAGCAGGAGAGAATGTTTAGGGAAGTTCTATGTTAAGCTGCAAGATGTCATTTGTTTGTTTATGTTCTTTTTATAAGAACGCTCATGCGGAGAGGAAAAAACAAGGACTAGACTATGTTACAGAATCAGGAGTAGGGAGATGGGGCAGGGAGTGAGAATGGGGCAGGGAGTGTGGACTCAAGGCCTGAGCCTGTAGACAGACTCTTATGAAGTCTGATAGAAAGGAACTAATCTTTTCTCCTACTAGAGATAATTACATTCACATCACCACAGGTATGTGGCCTGACTTCCACCAGTCTGTGTGAATGTTGGAGCACATTAGGCAATCTCTGCCTACTCTTCCCTGTTGAACTCCAAAACAAGCAGCTTACGGAAACATTTTTGTGATCCATATTGCCATGGCAGGATTCAAATCATAATTTTACCTGACACACATGGTTTACTGGAAGGAGGAAGGTCCCATAAACAGAGTGTTGAGTCCAGACCATGCATCATCTTCCTGCCTGTCTTCCTATTCTCCAGCTCATGAGTGTGAGCTAAGCAAATCTGAAAAAAAGAAAAAGGATCTTTTGTATTTTCTCTGAATTACTCATCAGCATGTGACTTTGCTGCAGATATAGCTTGAAACAGACCCTCCTTGAGCCTCTGGGATAGCTCAGTATCTAAAAGAGACTAAAGCTCACAAATTACAGCAACAAGGGATGAATTAAGTCCCCTACTTAGTCTTAATTCTCCAATCCAGCAAATACCTTGAGATATCACAAAATTTTCAGGGCTCCCAGCCCATCTCTTCCTCTCATTCCTGACTCCACCTGTCTCCTGTCCCTAAAATCAATGCTTCCCCTCCCCACCCCCCCCCACCTCCCCCCCCCACCACACACACAGCCGAGCTCTTCTTTTCTTTCTTCTGACTCTTATCTTAAATGATGCAGCCCTTTGTGCTCTGGCATTTGACCAGAAGCAATCAGCTATGTATTGCACCACCTTTCATTATTATTTATACTGCAGTAGGGTCTAGAGAGAGCCCCAAGTGAGAGCTCATCACCCCCATGCTAGTCACTGTATAAGAGGCAGGCCTGGCCTACACTTAAAAGTTAGGTTGCTATGGCTATGGTGCTGAGGGGTGTGCAAAATTTACACCCCTGAGCACCGTAGCTATGCCGTCAGTGCCTAATTTGTGTCAGGGCTGGACTTGCTATATCAGTTATGAAAGTAAAAATATCGCTTGAGCCCCAGAACCTAATTTCTTGAGCCCTAGAACCTCTTTCATTACAAATTAAGCACTGTGTGCCCACCTAACTCCCAATGTAGTGGCAGCTAGCTATGCAGAAGAATTCTTCAGTTTACCTAGCGATAACCCCTCAGAGGGGTGGATTACCTACAGCAATGGAAAAACCCTTTCCATCGCTGTAGGAAATATCTAAACAACAGCAGCATAGCTGCACCACCGTCACAGCTATGCTGCTGTAGCACCCATAGCATATACCCTGGCCACAGTGCTTGCCTGACAAGATTACAATTTAAATAAGAGACAAAAGGATGGGAAAATGGGCAACATGATTTGCCCAAGGTTACACACCAGGTCAGTGGCAGAGCCTTGAACAGAACCCAGGTTTGCTGACACAGAAGCAAGTGTGGTGGGAGAGGGTGTAAAAAATGGGCAGAAGCAGCCATGATGTGAGACGGTATCAGAGAGAGTACGTAGACATGCTGAGGGAAATATGGAGAGGAGAGTTGTCTCCTCAGCCAGACTTGTTGACAAGTTCTAGAAAGGCAGACAGTCCAAGGTTGGTGCTGTTTGCTGTACAGAATTAGTGCATAGATGACACAGAAAGACTCAGGTAGTCACCATGTAGAAACTACCAATAGCATTTTCATGGGACAAAGAACCAAGTGTTGTGCACATCTATCTGCCCCTCTGATTGACATGTCAGCAGATGTGGTCGTCTAACAAGGTAATAAAAATAACAACTATATTAACAGAGGGTTCTGTGCCTTGGTACAGGGTCTCCTCTCTTTCTGTGGACCAAGAGTGCATAAGCCCTTCAAAAAAATATCTGAGTGCTGTGTTAGAGCTGCTACAAACTTAAATATGGGCATAGTGTTACTGTTATATGCTCATTCCATAGTACGTACCACATGCAATTTATTTGACTTCAGGTAAAAATGGATTGGCAAGTTACTCTGGCTACAGAAACCAACTATGACACTCTTACAAGACCTTGTTTTGCCCTCCACTGACTGCTCTTTCTTCTTCATCTATTTCTAGTCATGTTTCTGTTCCACGCCTCACCCCACCTTCCTCATGCAATGGCTGTAGGGGGGGATAACAGTGAATCCATATTGTAGCTATCCACATAGGTGGTCATTCTCCAAGTAAATGCTCTTTGATACTGAATAGTTGTTCCACACTTCTTTCAGTTTTGAGATTACCGCATTGGTTCTAAGTATGTTGAAAACACTGGTGAACTGCTGCACATCTAACCAAAAAATATCATCCTTCCAGAATAGGCCAGTCTGTGTGCCGTTGCTGAAACAGTCCCTGGGAATGTTTCTCTAATTCTGTGTTTTGGCTCTACTACATAACAAATCAACCCTACCCAACTTCATTGGGGCAGGACGTTGTCGTCATACTATCTGTAAAGTGCCCAGTGTGCTGTTGGCCTAAATAAATAATTAAATAATGCTCAGAATATTATGCTAATTACTTTGGGCTCCTGTTGTTAATTTCTGAACCAGTTCATTACCCACCAGGCAGGATCATGGTGCTTAAAATTCTATCAGTGAAATAGACATGCCCAAAATTAGCACATGTGTCAGATACTATAGGGCCATGGAAGCACTTGTACACTTAACTGTGGCAAGTGAAATACACAGCAGAAAAAATAATCTGTTTAAAGTCTAACTCGGTCAAGTGAACTGGGGCATGTACAACTGGCACCTTCCCAAATGCCGCAGTGTGACAGACCCTTAACACAAGCGCACAAGCAAAGCAGCACACAAAGAGCCGCCCCCTTACCAGCACTGCCCACTCAAGAGCATTTCTCCATTTCTGTCCCTGTGTTTCCATTAGTGCAAGGACCATTCTAATTATAGTCAAAATGGGTGGGGGGAGGAGGCATGGCCCCATCCCCCATCTGCAGCAGCCCACAGATAGGACAACCATCCTGATGCATGGCAAATCCAGCACAGTCCCACTGTATGCTGGAACATTGGTGGAAGAGGGATTGACTGTGCCTAGGGCAGGACCCAGCTCCTCTTAGAGATTCCCATTGAGCAGGGTAATTCTGCATTGCTTCCTGCTCAGGCTGATGGCTAAATGCCACTGCTTGGTCCCAAGCCTGTTTTCTAGGCTCCAGTTTCATTCATCTGTGGTGCTAAGATTACTGGGATAGCAGTGGGAGGCTGACCTGGAAAGAATGAAAATGGTAGAATACAGTTGCCAAGATTCAGAAGAGGAACTTTGGAAACAATGTTTTGTTTTTAATGTCTATACATTAAATAAATCTTTCCAGTCAGACCAGGTTTTTTGAAGCACATGATTTTTAAAAGGAGTGCAATTAAAATTCCTTGTGTAAAGCTACTTTCCACCCTTCAAGCTAAAGCCAATGCATCTTAAAAAAGAAAAGAAAACCACAACCATGTGTGCACAGAGAATATCTGACAACCTGTTTTTAATAAATGAACATTTATTTATCTCTCAGTCCCTTTTTTCATAAGTGTTCTCAGTCACATCACATCTGATCTCTTCACAAGGATTCCCACCAGTTGGGCATAGAAAAGAGGAAGGCTGATACCATTCCAGCCATTACTACTCAGATCCTATTTTCAGAGCAACTCCTAGTGGTCTAAATTCATTTTCTCAGTCCTCTTTTTTGGGGGGAGAGGTTGAAACCTTCGTTGCTTTTCATGCAATGACCAGACAATCAGAATTATGAACTCCTGCCATCTTTACCCCCAAATTTGTCTCTATCAATTGTCTTTACATTTTGGGACTGTCTGCATTGGATGGGACCCACTCTGGTTCATGTCTTTAGCCAAGAACCTGAACTTGACATAGGTTCACAGATAGAGCTGGGCAGAAAACTGTTTTCCCATCCTGTGAGACTTTCAGAGAGTTCTAATTTCTTTCCCCACCCCAGATCAGGATGAAAAGTTGAAGTCTCAAAAATGTTCACAAAATGACAAACTAAAAAAAAACAAAAATCAGTTTGGGTCAATTAAAAAATTTAGTTTGGATAATTTTGAAACATTCCATTTTTAACTTTTTTCTTAAACAGTTTTAGTCTAAATTTATTAAAATTTCCACACACAAAAGGGGGGGGGGGTATTTTGACTCGAAAACCCAAAACTTTCTGGTTCAAAAATATCAAAATATTCTGTTTTGATGATTTTGAAACTTTTTATTTTTGCAAAAAAAAAATTGAATTGGGAGATTCATCAGAAATGATCCCATTTCACAAACAGTTTAAATTTAAAGGAAAAAAAATGACTTGTTAAAAACTTTCCAACCAACTCTATTCATAACAGCCCCTTCTTCTTTAACCTCAAGATGAACGATGAGTTATCCCCAAATAGTTTGAAAGAAAAGAACCTTAAATTAAAAAAAACTTATTATAAAATTGATTAAAACATTCTATTAAAATCATGTCTAGTCATTGCTTTGGTTAGCAATTTAGGCTAGTATTTTTAAAGGAACCTATGGGGTTTAGGTACCCAACTCACAATGAAACCCAATGGGAATCAGTCACCTTATGCTTCCTTGAAAATGTCAGCTTTAGTCAGATGACACACAATATTGTAGTTAAGGAATTAAGTTAGTATTCATATAGGCATTTGTGTCCCTTTAACAAAAAAAACTCAAACAAACTAGGATCACACAAGGATAAAATTATAACATGATTAGGGGAAGTTATGGAACCTCATACTTAGCCAATATGGTTGATCCCAAATACAAAGGTAATAGATCGAGGTCAAAGTAGGAAGCAGAGGCAGATATGTGGCTGGTGGAACATAATCCTTTTCTTCTCGGTTTTAAAAAAAATCCAGATTTCTACCCTGATCTAGGTTTGCTATGGAAGTTGTGGCACAAATCCAAAATGGTGGAAAACTGTAGCAGTAAGACTGGAAGAAAAGATGTAAAATTTTGTCAATTTTTTAAAAGACCTGCTCTTCTGTCCAACCAACTCAATCTTAATAAAGAATTTTTCTAGTACCTTTGGATTGGTTTGGTAATATAGGAGAGTTTGGATTCTGGAAAAGCAAATATGTTGGTAAAAATGCATAAGTATCTAAAGATAGGCCTAACTATGTAGCAAACTGAGGAATCAAATGTGTTCTCATGTTTTACTTAAAGAATTGCAAGACACCTTGAAAAATGAGACCTGAACCTCACAAATGACTCAACATGGACAGACCCTTTTACTTGCATGGAGGCCTACTGAAGTCAAATTATTGTCTGCTCAAAACAACATGTGCATATTATATATATTCATATTCATCTAACATTATGCACTCACCATTGGGGATGGAACACAGCATCTGTTTAACAGTGCTCAGGTGGTAACACAGATAGGCACGCCTTGGAAATTCACAAGCATTCAGGACAGTCTGTGAAGGAGAATACTATAGTCAACGGAAACAATAAAGAGAATTTATGGAGACAGAATGTAATGACCTTGGAATTTGGCCATGACATCAGTGTTAACATACCCCTAACACTGTAGGAAGTGCCATGGGATGTTGATGAATGAAAATAGTCAGAATTTCATTTGTTTTATCTTGTATGTCAGGTAGCATCTTCAGTGGCACAACCTCCACTAACTCCATACTAAGGCGTTGGCTCAGTACTGAGTCAGAGGGAAAAGTGCCTCTTACTAAACACCACTTCCTTCAATACCTGAGTTTTTCCTAGACATTTTCCATCCAAGTACTGACCCAGCCTGATCCCGCTTAACTTGTGAGGTCTAATGAGATCACACATTTTATGAGAAAGTAAAAGAGCTTAACTGACCTTAAGTGAACACAATCAAACTTAGCGGTTAGAAGCAACTTGGTTCAACCCAAGTGGAAAGTGGAATGTGGTGGGGCTTTCTTTTCTTCTAGAGACTGTAATTCAGATTGTGGGCCAGTTATTTGCCTGAGAAATAAGAACATTTTTTCAACTTCATGGCCTAACAGCCATGTTTTCAGGAAAATTTGGTAGACAGATTGGTCTTTCCCATCTGTCAGGTTCCCAAGAAGGCATCCATCTTGCCATACCCCAATGAACCAAAAGTTGACAACTTGGGCACAGAGATGGAGATGTTCTCACTTGAAAGAATATTTTTCATTTGGCATTGTCCAAGTTAATGTCAGCTTAAAACAAAATAAAATACACAGGCCAAGTTTTTTAGAAAGGATTTGGGGAACCAGCCTGAGATTCTTTAAAAGGGGCCTGATTTTCTAAAAATATGATCATCCACCCCTTAAAATCATTTAAAGTGTCTCACGTTGGGCACTGAAAATCACTAGCCACTTTTGAAAATCATGACCATATACGTATATGTTTTGGGCAGCAGCTTAACTGCAAATGCTCCAGGCAATTATCTGTGACTAAGTCTGGCAGGCAAGAGGGCAGTCGCAGTTCAGAGCCATCACCTTCTAGGGTCAGAACCTTGAGTCAACAAAATGGTCACTGAAATAACATATTTGTAAAGTTCCACCAAGGCGAAACCTGGATGTCAGAGAGGGAAAATTCTGATTCTCATGGGAAAAAGTTTTGGTAAACATCTCTTCATGTTTCACAGTGAACACATTCCACCCACACAAAGACGGCTAAAGTCTCACTTACAGGCTTCCAAAATGACGTCACTTAAGAGCATAGCATAACCTCAATGTTTAGTGAAAAAATACAGGAAAAGCAGTACCTCCCTTGTGGAAGAGGAAAAGAGCAAAAGCACAAGCAGTATTTCAAACACAAAAAGCCACCACACACCACCAAAGCAGCCACTAGAAAGTTGGTGCCTCTCTTTGGTGGCTATTTAAGAAGAATCAAACAAAGCCACGCAAAAGGGTTTTAAAGTAAATACCCAACTCCAGGCCAATAGTTCAGAGCCCTGGGTTATTTTCCTATGGTATTTCATAATATAAAACTGCAAAGTGCAGCATTTCTCCATATACAGGATCTAGCTAGCTCTTTTAGGGTTTTATACCATTTCACATCACTGTAGTATCTGAGTGCCTTCCACATACAATCAATGGCAATATCAAAGTCCTTGTGGACTGGGTTTTTTGAGATGGGGTTAGATTTTATTAAATTCTGTTTTTGTTCATATTTATTTATTTGGTTGGTTGGTTTTGTTTTGACTGGGGTATTTCAAAGTCATGAGTGACATTCTCATGATGGTAATGCCTTTTACCAGGATCCATGTATTGTCTAATATAAAAGAAGCCCATGTAATGTGATCGCAAGATCAGCTTTTCACCAGGCAGCTGATAAGCAATACTGATAGCAACTTACCCCATACTAATGCTGTTATGGAATAGACAATATAATCAGAGCACAAATACAGATCCCAAAGAAATTACATCACCCGACCAAGGAAATAGTTACCTTGCAGCCCTGACAGAAAGATCCATTTAATTAATAGGGATTATTTTCTTTAAGTTTTCATTGTTTGTAAGTACAGTCTTGTAGTCATAGTACCTCTATAGGCTAGTTTATGAGCATTAACATTGCTCAGATAATCTTACTGGCGAGAATAGAAACAGCTATCATGTTACTTGAAAGAACTGAAGCTGTATTGTGTACCAGTCATTAGTCTCCTTGAATCTGCTCATAATGATGAATGCATCATTCTGCTTGCATGCAACTTTGGTAACAAACAGCACAGCCAAGACTTTTCCAGTTCTGTTATTCTGTTTTAAAAAACACTGACATTTTCTTAAACAGACATAATTTACAATTTTAAGTAACACAACAGTGCCTTGGTGTGTTAGGGCCAGCAAGCAAACAAGACTCCTTTCAGAAAGATTAGAAAAAAACCCAGTCTCGTGCTCAGTGAGGTCACTACAGCTTAAAGCTAGAAGGGTGCAGAACTAGGGCATTTCTGTGATTTTTTTTTTTGCTTTGAAATATATATAATGCTCCCATTGCAGAGCCTCTGAGTGCATGTAGAGTAAAAAACAGTATCTAACACCACAGTAGCATGTGGGAGTAAATCTAGACACAGAGAGATCAACCTGATCCTGCTTTGGTTGAAGTCAACGGCAAATCTCCCATTGACTTTAATGGTGCAGGCTCAGACTACTAAGTTCTGATCTTGCTTCCTAAGAAATCAATGGGAGTCTTTTTGTTGACTTCATTGAGCTTTAGATCATGCAATTAATGCGCTTTTATTATCAGAACTCCACCAGTCTGTTCTATACTCTGGGACTAACTTCCTGCAGATGATGATGGGATCTAAATTAGCTGTAACCACTCAAGAAAGAGATCTTGGAGTCATTGTGGATAGTTCTCTGAAAACATCCACTCAGTGTGCAGCGGCAGCCAAAAAAGTGAACAGAATGTTAGGAATCATTAGGAAAGGGATAGATAATAAGACAGAAAATATCATATTGCCTCTATATAAATCCATGGTACATCCACATCTTGAATACTGCATGCAGATGTGGTCGCCCCATCTCAAAAAAGATATATTGGAATTGGAAAAGTTTTAGAAAAGGGCAACAAAAATGATTAGGGGAAATGGAACAGATTCCATATGAGGAGAGATTAATAAGATTCAGACTTTTCAGCTTCGAAAAGAGACGATTAAGGGGGGATATTATGGAGGTCTATACAATCATGACTGGTGTGGAGAAAGTAAATAAGGAATTGTTATTTATTCCTTCTCATAACACAGGAACTAGGGGTCACCAAATGAAATTAATAGGCAGCTGGCTTAAAACAAAGAAAAAGAAGTATTTTTTCATACAATGTACAGTCAACCTGTGGACCTCCTTGCCAGAGGATGCTGTGAAGGCCAAGACTATGACAGGGTTCAAAAAAGAACTAGATAAATTTATGGAGGATAGGTCCATCAATGGCTATTAGCCAGGATGGGCAGGGATGGTGTCCTTCACCTCTGTTTGACAGAAGCTGGGAATGGGTGACAGGGGATGGATCATTTGATGATTACCTGTTCGGTTCATTCCCTCTGGGACACCTGGCTTGGGCCACTGTCAAGACAGGATACTGGACTAGATAGACCTTTGGTCTGACCCAGTATGGCCATTTTTATGTCTTAGTTGGAGTTCTCATGTTATACCAATAGGGTGATCTTAAAGGAAAAGATCATTGTGACACTTCCTGGCAGTTGCCAGGGTTGTGAGGTATCTCTCTAGCATCTGCCCTTAGCATAAGGAAGCCTTCCTTGGCTGTGCCTGCTGGGAATCAACTCCTCAATTCCACTGGCCACAGTCAATACAACCATTTCCCAAAAGGCTTATACAGGCCCCACTTTCTCTCTCTCCATGTTAGTGATTGGCACACTCCAACCCCCAAGCCTTCCAAGCATCCCCCTGGAGTGACCAACCCCTGATCCACTAGAAACAGAATGCACAAGGTAGCTGCTCCCAAATAAATAGTACTCACAAGCATATCAGTTTCAGCTCAAGATCACCATTCCATTTAACATTTAGGTATGTTTAGTGAAAACAAGTAAAAGGCTATTTAACAAAGAGGAGAGATTTAAATAATAGTAAATAGAAACACTGAAAACAAATGGTTACATGTAAAATAAAACCATAACACGCATTTTAGAACCTAGACTTACTTAACTAGTTACTATCATGTCTTATGGTAGTGCGGATGTGTTTTTCAGCCAGGTAGGCCGTGATCCCTTTTCCATGAAACCAACTACGCTCTCAGCTTGTCTCCACAGTGAAAGATCCCAAGTTCACCTCAGTATCTACAGTTATGCCCCCCAAATCCATTGTCTTTATTTGTAAACAGGACACCCCCCTCACTATTTTTGTTTTGCAGAGCTTCTCTTATGTCAATTCACAGTTTCTTCATTTGCATTAGGCTCAGTAATGCACATAGACTGAGGGTATGTCTATAGTTGAAAGGCTACAGCAGCACAGCTGAGCTGCTTTAGTGTAGACATTACCTATGCCAATGGTGGAAACACTATTACGTCGGTGTAGTTAATCCACCTCCCTAAGAAGAGGTAGCTAGGCCAACAGAAGAATTCTTCCATCAACCTAGTGCTGTCTGCACAAGAACTTAGGTAAGCTTAACAATGCCACTCACCCCCCAACTGACGTAATGAAACCGACCTAATTTTCTAGTGTAGACTTGGTTTTACACTGTAAGACACAAAATACCCAATGACCACCCAGAGAGAGACACTTTTACTACCCCTACCTAAAAAGAACCTATTTAGCACCTTCTGGTGAGCTGTCTAAACTTATATTCCTTAAAAACATAGTTTTCAGTATAGATATATAACTCCTTAAATATCATCCATCCATCCATTTCACTATGACTATGATGACCAGTAAGCTATTGGCTTTCAATAGAGAACTTACCTGCCTTTGGCACACTATTGTGTAGATACCTGACCCCTGGGATCTTTGTAAA